GTGGTGAGTCTTCATCTTACATACTTAATGCATGCTATTAGGAGAGTACAGTCCTTGGAAAAAGACAACATATTTGGAAAAGTAGAGGGTCAGTGAAGGAGAGGAAGACCCTCATATTTGACTAAACGTTGCTTAAGCACAACAGAGGTTGTGAGGGTGGTGGAGGGTTAGGCAGGGTTCCATTCTGCAGTGCATAAATCAGTGCCAGCTTGATGGTACATAACAACAAATGGCAGTCTCATGTTGAATACAATGTATTCATCTGGGAAGAAAGACATTTTGAAACTTGATATGAATATACACTTTCTTCTCTGCCCAGCATTAAATGCACACTTGACAACATGGACTAGAGATGTAAATAGAGCTTTAGCAGTTTTAACAATTTTGTTATGTGTCCACATAGAACTTTCCTTGTTTGCTTTTGCCTAGACCACTGTAGCTGAAAATACTATTCCTGGGCTCAGTCTAGGTTACTGATAGACTCCCCCTCCCCCTCATCAGAGGGAGGGGCTACTAGTTCATTTTCCTTTGCCTTCTCTTTATTTCCTACTGGATTTACCATTTTCAAGAAAGTTCCTTAATCATTTCTAGAAGTTCAGAGCAGTGCTTCTTGAACTTTTACTTTGTAATCCAGTTACTGTGAATCATGCTAAAAAATAAGCTTTTGATTCATTAGGTTTGGAGTGGGACCCAAGAGTCTGCATCTCACAAACTTCGGTGTTCCTGATTTTGCTAGTCATTGGCCCAGATTTGGGCAGCAGATCTCAAGCAGCCTGCTGATAATTGAGTTATCTATTGCATGGGATATGCTGTGTTTTAGTTGATGGGATCCTTACCTTCCATGTGGAGCACCCAGGAGGATGTTTGTGCCTGTGTTTTCTCTGAGTCACTGAACCTCATGGTCAGCCTCTACCAGCTGTAATGGAGGTTTTTGCATGTTGCTACATTGCTGAACAGGTTTCAGTGAAACTTCCAGGTTATTAGGGATGAGGAGAAAAGGTCTGGTGATCGACTTGCCTGAGTTGTCTGGTCAAAGCCTTTGCATCACAGTGGCTGGCTCCCCAGTTGTGGAGGTGACATTAGACCAGGCAGCTTTTCATTTTGTTGTGCATGATGTTGGGTACCAGCTCCAGGGCAACTAACAACAACTGCATGAGAAAACTACTCTTTACATGGTCCTGATTTCTGTTCTTAAAAAGGATGTGGCATTTAATTTCATACCTGCTGCTGATGAGTTGATTCTAACTCATGGTGCCTCTCCGTTGGGTTTTTAATACTGTAAATCTCAATGGGAGGAGACTGCCAGTGTTTCTCCCAGAGTGGATGACGGGTCAAACTGCTGACCTTTCAGTTGGTGGACAAGGACACCATACACCATGCTGTCAGGACCTTGCATTATTGCCTGGTAAAATCACCTTTATTGGAAGCAACAGAATACATGGGAATCATGTTTATGTGAGCACGTCAATAGCCTGTAAGTCCAGTATAGATAGCATCTGTCCTTTGGAATATATACCTTTTTATTTATTTTTTTTTTAAATCAATAGTGATTTGAGGGGAAAGCTCTAGTTGCATAGTCAGCAGGGAGTTTTGCTGCTGACTCTCAGGCTGTCTCTGGAGATTTGAATCCACCTGGGGCTCCTTGAGAGAAAGATGGGCTGCCGTTCCAATTCAGAGCAGTGAGTAAGAGATAGTGAGTGATCTGAATATGAATTTAACTACTCACAGACTGTTATATGCCAAGCTCGAGTCTGACCAGATTACGCAAATTTCCGTTTTACAAGTATTACTGTATACGGATCTCTGGTGGCCTAATGGCAAGAAGGTGCACTGCAATCCTGATGGCATGCAGTTCAAATCCACCAGATGCTCTTTTGGAGAAGGAAGGGCAATCTCCTTCTGTGCCAGTCAGATCCACCTTGACAGTACATGACAAAAAAAAACCAACAAAACCCAGAAAACAAACAAGTGTTGTTTTATGCAACAATGAAAGAATTTTTTTAATGAGAAAAGCGAACTGGAAGGTAGGGTAGGGAGGAAAATGTGCAACAATGAATGAATGGAAATCCAAGTTCTTGGTAAACTTTCATTAAAATCTCTAAAGAAAATTAAAAACAAAACCAAAAAACCAAGTGTTATATGCCATTGAAGCTGGTTTTACAATTTGATCATTGGATATGAATTAAGTATTCCACTGAGTTAAATGCAACTGGAACAAAAATTCCAAGCACTTATTCAAACTCAGTAACCCAGAATGAATTTCATACTTTAAGACATTATGTGTGTTTTCTTGTATTAATTTTAATGAATGTTTACAGAGACTTTGGATTTGTGTGTTTTCTTTTGTGTATTAAGTCTTCCTTCTTTGGCTCTCAGCCTTAAATTATGCTCATCATGGAGTCTTTAATCCCAGGGGACTATCAACATGATTGGTTAGAACATAATTTCCTGTGTATGCCTTTGATTTTGGCAGAGTACCCAGTATAAGATACAGTTAGCAATCTAAATGAACTCCCCTCTTAAGATTAAAGTTGTGGGCGGGGAGAAAAGTACAACAATGAATGAATGGAATTCCAAAATCTCTGTAGATGTTCATTGAAATAAAAAAAAATAAATAAAATAAAATTTTTTTAGAAAAAAGAAAAGAATAAGGTTGTGAAAAACAAATGTATTCAAATTTTGCAAATCAGAGCAATATAAAAAATAAAGTATGGTTGTAACATAATTTCCTTTATTTAGATGATTTGTTACTAAAAAGATACAAATATGCTTAGAAGGCTTTTTTTATTGTAATCGTTTGGCCAATGTTTTTTGCTGTAGTGGGCCTTGAGTTAGAATTTCTTTAATAATTATCATACTGTGGATGCAAAAAAGGAATAATGGATCTCCTTTTTTCCTTTTTCTTGTTTCTTAGCCCCTGGCGAATCGTGGATGACTGTGGTGGTGCCTTTACAATGGGCACCATAGGTGGTGGCATCTTTCAAGCAATCAAAGGTTTCCGTAATTCTCCTGTGGTAAGTGGGTGAATGATTTTATCATCAAGCTTCAATTAAGTAACTCCACATTGACCCTATTGTAAATGTGTTCTATTTTTGACACAATGTATTTTGGGTTACTTCCCTTTTTTTTCCTTCCTTTTAGGGTGTCAGCCACAGACTACGAGGGAGTTTGACAGCTATTAAAACCAGGGCTCCACAGTTAGGAGGTGAGCAAGACTTCTCCATTTGTGCTGCAGACTATTTTCCCTATTTATTTGAAGACAGATCTCTTTTCTTCTTGTTGAGATTATTACACCAATTGGTGATTTTCATTCTCTGACAGTGTGTCCCAAACTATAATAATGCTCTGTTTTCTTGGATTATAATTTACTTAAAACAAAACAACTTATTTAAAAAGGTACCTTCAGTTGCATCCATTTGAAAGTTTTGTCTGTATCCTTCAAACTCTTGATGTCTTCTTCTTCACCCCTGTCCAGAAGGAAGACAGCAAGCGTACTTCAGCATTTCTTTCCCTTGTTTTGGCCCCTCTACACTCAGGCTCTCTTCTGATACTTATTTTGGTCTTCTTTTTTTTTTTCCTTTGGTCTTTTCTTTTTTCCTTGTCTTTGCTTTTTTTATGGCTGATGTCTTTTTTTTCCCCCTTTCCTTACTCTGATCTATTTCTCTTTATTTAAAATTTATGTTGATTTACATACAATATTCATATACATTGTGTTTCACACTTTCTTTTCATTCACATTATGTTTCATACAATCATTCCCATATATTGTATTTTGTAAAATTGATCACAGTTCAACTATGTCTTTTTTTTAATTATTAATTTTAATGAACGTTTACAGAGACTTTGGATTTCCATTCATTTCTTGTTGCATTTTTCTCCCTGCCCCTCCCCCCCAAGTTCACCCTTCTCTTTGAAAAGCAAAAGAAAAATTCTTTCATTGTTATACAAACACCACCTCCACCCGCCTGCACCCCCCCCACTATGCAGTCTTCATTCTGAACTCTTGTCTTGACAACAATACTTAATCATATCCTTTTAAACAGTTCTCTCCCTCACCTGTTTTCAATGCAGTATACATTATTTATTCCCTCTTTGTCAGTCTTCCCCCAACTCTGATGTCAGTCCCGTCTTACGACAATGGCTCTGTGCAATATTTGTCCTTTTGTTACTGCAATATTTCACTCAGCATAATGTCCTCCAGGGTCATTTTGTGTAATATTTCATGAGTTCTTTGCTTTTTTTTTTAATTTTTTTTTTTTTAGCATTTCTAAGGATTTTATTGTTGTCCTGGTCCAACACCACAGTAAAAAGGGACCTGGAGCTCCAGGCCTGGTACCATGTGTCACCACAGCAAAAACATTACCCACATCAACATGTTCCCACCCCACCCCCAGAGCTACTCACAAGATAAATATGTGTTACAAATTTTTTTAAAAGAAAAAAAAGAATAAATTAATAACTTAAGTGATTAGGCACCAACAGTGATTTGAGAAATTAAACATTTAGAAGTTCTTTGCTTTTCATTGCAGTACAGTATTCCATTGTGTGAATATACCACAGCTTCTCTATCCATTCGTTTGTTGATGGACACTTAGGTTGTTTCCAACTCTTTGCTATTGCAAATAAAGCCGCAGTAAACATGGGTGTACATATATCTGCTTGGGTGGCAGTTACGGGACTTTAGGATAAATTACCAGTAGTGGAATTGCTGGGTCAAATGGTTTTTCTATTTGCAAATTTTTGAGAAGCCGCCGTACAGCCTTCCATAGTGATTGCACCATTTTTATACTCCCACCAACAGTGAGTAAGGGTTCCAGTTTCTTCACAACTTCGCTAGCATCTGTTGTTTGCTGCTCTGTTAAATTTTGCTGTTCTTACTGGGATGAGATGATATTCAACTATGTCTTTTCAGGTCCCTCCTGATCGTTCACATTTCCTTTTCTTCCTCCTACCCAAAAGATTGTGTGAACTTATGATTTCCCCCCTACCCACTCTCACCCCTCTGCTCCCTCCCCTTCTCTTGAACCTACATGCGTCTTTTACTATTTGTCCTTCTAGTTTTACAATAATGGTCTTAGGCAGATTTTGTCCTTATGAGACTGAGTTAGTTCAGATGCTCTTCAGTCTTTCCCAAATTATGTATCATTTTTTCAAAATCATTGCTCCTGAGTACTGCATAGTATTTCTTCGTTTGAGAGTACCGTGTTTCTAAGTCCATTCATTTGTGATTGGACATTGGGCTGTTTCCATGATCTTGTGGTTGTGAATAACAGTGCTGTGAACATAGGTGTACAAATCTCCATTTGTGTCTCAGATTTAATTTCCTTGGGATATAATCCTAGCAGTGGAATAACGGAGTCATATGAGTTTTTATATTCAGCTTTTTGAGGAAATGCCAAACAGCTTTCCAGAACGATTATACTGTTTTACAGTCCCATGAACATTGTATGAGAGTTCATTATCTTCACATCCTCTCCAACATTTCTTGCTAAACTTTGCCACTGCTACTGGAGTGAGGTGGTATCTCATTGTGGTTTTGATTTGCATTTCTCTTCTTGCCAGTGATTTTGAGCATTTCTTCCTGTGTCTTTTGGCCATCTGAATGTCTTCCTCTACGAAAAGTATGGCTGGTGACTTTGATGTCATCCCACATCTTGTAACACATTCCGTTATTAGTGTTCAGTGCATCAAGTCTATTTTTGAGGTTATTTTTAAATTTAGGAGGGATCAACTTAAGATCATATTTTGTGTTTTAGGAACTTGTTTCTGTTTTCTTCAGTCTTAATTTGAGCTTGTTGTTATGTGCCGGCGAGTCGTTTGTGACTCATAGCGACCCTACGTACAACAGCCCTAAACCCTGCTCTATCCTGTGCCAATCGCATTGCCTCTGACAC